GCACACAACAACAACAACAACAACAACAACAACAACGACATTCAGAAGTAAGTCTCACTGAATTAACTAAGACTTCTCTCTAGATAAAGTTTCACAGAATTGCAGCCTAAATATAAAAGAGTTCTAACGGAGAAGTTGCTCTTTTGATATCACCCCACATGTGACTCAGTACTTTTATTTTTAGGGCCACTGAAAAAGTGAAGGGATGTACTGAGAATATAAGCAGAGAATTCAAACCTGCACACACAGACCTTCTATATATAGGAAGGATCATGGAAAGCATTGTACTAAGAGCAGGCACTGAGAACAGATTAGTGTCACTTAGATCCTACCTCTATAGCAGTCTGTGCCCATCGCTGCTTATGAATATAGAGGCTATATTTTACGCTCACAGCAATCAAGGGTGGCGCTCCTAGGTACACTCCCTAGGGAGCAAGTTTCCTTGAACCCAGCAGGCTGCATGTTATCCATGGAAAACTCATTTTCATCTTCACAGTTCACAGGGTATCATACCGTGCTCAGTTACATATAACGTAAGTGATCTCTAATGCTCCAGAAGCTGATGTGATGGGTCTCCTTGGGAAAGCTTCCTGCCCCCTCAGTGCCACATTAGAGGTCGCTGGCGCTGGAACGTAAGAGACACCTTCCATCGAGTCGGGCCGTTGATCCATCTAGCTCACCGCTGGCAGCACTGGCTGGCAGCAACTCTTCAGAACTTCAGGCAGAAACCTTTTCAGCCCTGCCTGGAGGTGCCAAGAATTGAACCTGGGACTGTGCACGTGCAAGCAGGGTCTCTACCACAGAGCCAGGGCTGTGCCAGTTATGCATGTGCAGCATCCCTGTTGAGTATAAGGTATTCATTTTCTTTTGAGTGCCATAAAAAGGGTTGAGATCTCTGATGTATATGTATAATGTATATGTACTAGTGATGTGTGGGGATTAAATATAAGCCAAGTAAGACATCACTTGATGTCTTTTGACCTCACTTTTGACCTCATGTTGTGTTAGTTTACTTTCTTAGAAGTGAATGTACTATTATCAGACCTTTTCAGTATTTGCATATTTCCTGTGTTTTCCCACCACTGCTTCTGCTTTTTTTCCCTTCTCACCATGAAAAAAAGTTAAGAAGAGAAAGACAGAATATCCACACAATGTTGTTTATCTCTTTATTTGCTCAGTTTTAGAAGAATCTTCCTACCTCAAAAAGTGGGGGACACTCAAGCTGGTAGTCGGTGCAATCCTTTGGCTGCAAAACAGTGTCTAGAGAAAAAAAGCCCTGGGTTTTTCAGTGGCCTGCTATGAGGTTGAAAAATTACTCCAACCACATGGCTGGGTCTTTGTGCTTGGTGGGTTCTCCACCTCCCCAACTAGCCAGTGTGGAAAGAACCATGCCAGGTACTTCTCCAAGGCTTCCAGAACGATCCTGGAGATGGGGCTTAAGGGGTAAGAAAGGGAGGAGACAGGCGCTGTATTTCGTGCTGGCCCTGCAGCTTCCTTGCCCCCTTCCCACCCTGAAGCTCTTCAGCTGGGAGGGGCCTGGAGACAATTGACTCCTGCACTTCTCCTGCCTTCCATAGGAGGCCACTCATCAGTCTATTTTGGATGGCTGCAGGCATCCTGATCGGCTTCTCCCCCTGAAAAACAAAACGAATTGAAGTTGCAATCCTACAGCTGTTAGATTTTCCCAGCCAGCTGGCTGAGGAATGCTGCAAGTTCTAAGATTTTTTTCTCTCTAAATGTGGGTAGGATTGGACCTTAGAACAATACGATGCTTGAAAATGTATTTTAATTGGCAGTGCTATTTAGCAGCCTTCCCCAACTTGGTGCCCTCCAACTTTAACTCCTATCACTGGCCAAACTGTTTAATACTATCACTGAAACCAGGGGGATTCAAAAATGTCTTATTATGGCTGGCTTGTGAAAAAATTGTGCAAATAAATTATTATGATGCTCAGCTCTGGGGGATAGGGGAGCAAGGAGGGTGTCCTATGCAAATGCAAGGAATTCTTTTCATTTTTGCACAGCTATTTAAAGATTTCCCATTTCCCTCTGAGCCAAGTACACAGCAAGCAAAGTTGCCAAGTGTCAAAGATAACATTTTATTAGGCTGTATTTTCTCTGAATACTGATTTGCTCAGCAAACAGGGCCTGCAATAAGTTATTACAGCAGGAAATCAATAAGGAACTTTCTGTTCTGTTTAGAAATGTTAAATAAAGACATCCCATAATTTTCTCGATGTCACATATAGTATTACTGGCAGATGACAGCTCTCACCTTTGGCATGCAACTCTTCTTTTCTGTAACATAGGTCACTTCAACTCTTGCTCTCCCCTCCCCCACCCCATTTTTCTTAAGCTCTTAAGCAGGAGCAACTTGAACTAGCATATCTCAGATCCCACAAACAATTCAAATCGTTTCCACAGGGTTCTCCACTGGCAGTTTTGAGAAATTTTCCTGAGCTTTTGACAAAAAACTATGTCTTTTCTCTCTCTTTCTGCATATTACCTCCAAAAAAGTCCCTTCCCTCCTTTAGGCCCTACACAGGGCTGGAATTTAGCGGAGAAAGCAGCTGGTTGGAAAGTTTAAACTTCCCCTTCCCATGTGTGCTGTTCCCAGTCTGCATCACCATCCACAGGCTTCCAGGAAGGAAAGTTTTAGTGTCATCCTCTGCATGTTCAGATAGGGGGGAAATTGCACAGCTTCCAGCTTGCTCATGCCAACCAGTATGGCTGGGAATACTAGGAAATGTATGGCATTTTTCTGTCTAATAATGCATAGGATTGATCATCTGCACAGGACATACAGTGTGTAGCTTAGTGCAGAGATCTTATTTCGCATCTCTGTTCCATACTTTAGCAATTCACCTTGCAAGACCAATTTACAGGTGATCTGAGAACTGTAGACTGGACAGTGGGACTATAGAGTAAATATGAGAGATTTCTACATATCTCTCTAAATATAGAGATTTATATATTTGTTCATTCATTCTGCCAGCCAGCCAGCCAGCCAGCCAGCCAGCCATCCAGTCAACCCTATTAGCCATAAGGTATTTGTAATGAATGTGAGTCACAGATGCAAGCTGCCGGAGTTTTCTGAACTTCTGCGATCCCATCATATACAAGGGCAGAATCTGGTGTCCTGAGAGGGACTTGCTTGAAAAAAGAACACGTTTCTAGATGTCAAGGCTACAAAACAAGCATGAAAATGTAGTCCATGAACTCTCATCCTGGGTATGAAGGGTTGAGATCTGAGAAAGACCTCCAACGGGCAAAGGACATGTCTTGAATACTGCTCATAACTCTCTTTCCAAGGGCTAGTCAAGGGACAGAATAAATTATGCAACAATATATGAATGGAGTTTTCATTCCCTAACAAACGCTTATGGAATTTGGATGTGTATAGCACGGAATTCACCTTTCCTTAACATCCGAAAGGTTTCCATAAGTAGGCTAGGTTAGATGCAAAAGCCTAATGAGTGTGCAATGTTTTTGTTGTAGGATGCATAGGTCCGTGATTCACTTCTACGCCAGCTTAAGAGATGAAAGAGAGACCTGTTTGAATGTTCCTGACATAGCTTGCAAGGAGGGTACTGGGAAAGAAGGAAGGGGCTCGCATCTTTCCCCAGTTCTGCTCTAGACCCCAGGTGGTAATTATGGGCACTGCTGCCTTCTTACACATTTTTCAGAGCAGAGATGACATCTTTAGTAGGTATGTTCAGGTTAGCTTTAGATGTGCCAATATAATTTAAGCCTGCCTCATTCCTTATTTCTGTCAAGCTGTACGTTTTCATTCAGATCATATTGACTGCAGTGCTGGGGGTAGGGAAGAGCATTTGTGTGCACTTCCCCCCAAGGCATGTAGGTTGCGCCTCCTGCTTGCATCTTCAGATGCTGCTTGGTAATCTAACATACCTTGCCTGCTAAGCCCCCAGTCTCTGCCTTTGGCACACTCTGTGTTGGTATTGTGCGAAGAGCAAGCACCTTTGGACCAGGTGTGGTCTTTTGATTCTGGAACCTCATCCAACAGATCGTTGTGCTCATAGAAATGAAATACAATGGTGGCAATATAAACAAATGTGCTCCCATTTTTTTCTTCATACACCAATGGGATTTTATTTCTGCTTAGAACCTAGCGTTGAATTGAAACTTCCTTAATTCCCAGTCAGTGTGGCCACAGGTCATTATGTGAGCTACAGTCCAACTGAAGGGCACTAGGTGAGGGAAAAGGTCGATGCCTAAATGGAAATGCAACTCTCTTAATCCAGCCACGTTGCATCTGGAGCGCTGTGCCCAGTTCTGGCATACAACCCAGGCAATTAAGGTCTACCAAGCAGGGCTTATAAGAGATTATCGAAATAGCATTGGTTTGAGACTGGAATCATTTGAAAGGAGGATGTGATAGCAAACTTTGTTGCCTCAAAAGTGTGAGTGAAGTTAGAGATTCCAGCTTAAATTTAGGAAAAATGGCATGTTAAGAGCTGTTAAGCAGTAGACTCTCCTTTGATAAATATGCCTAGACAGACTGCACAGACATTGATCTGTCGGGATGTTGTGGTTGCATCTTGCCCTACAAATCCTGCCTTTACCAGCAGCTAAGAATAATGTCCTCCAAGGGGCTTTCCAACTCTTGATGGATCCAATGTTTACTACTGCCAGACACATCCATACCTCCGCCACCAAAATGCTTTAGTGAGTCAGTGGCAGGATGATTTGGCAGCTAGGACTCGCAACCCATTGAAAGAAAGTAAGATGGTTGAGCAGTTTCAACACATTTTGCTCAAAGCCTAGTTACATGGGAAGTGCTTTTCCTTGCATGTGATCAGACATGTAGCTGGAACAGCAAGCATTGATGTCGCCGTGTCTTTTAGCAGTCAAACATTCATATAGATTGGCAAAGTAGCACTGTACAATATTTAGTGTTCTTAATTACTAGGGTATAATTGTATAATGTAGGAAAACTGATGAAGGAATGCCTCAGATTTATAAAAGAACGGACACTGTTTATAGAAATATTGTCCAAGATTTTACTGCAAACCAATGGATTTGGTCACAAAAATGGTACATATAACCATGTTAAGTACATTACAATGGTGGTATACATTATAAGCCTCTGAAGTTTTTTTTTCTCCTTTTAAATATACATCTAGCATTGCAACCAACTGTACATGTATTTTACAGATACATACAACCAGGAATGCAAACAATGTGTTTGTTTTTACAAACCATAAATAATGCCCAATTTTACAGATGAACAACAGCAAAAATGAAAGAAACCAACAGCTTTGACAGACTGCAGCTGGGGCATTTTGGTCCATAGAAACCCTTTCTAAAAATAGAAATATTTATACATATATTTATATATGTATTTCCATAGCAGCAACGCTTTCTTCAAGCATTTGGGAAACAAGTCATTGAAGCCTATCTTGATAGTTTTAGTTATTAACTGTATAGATTTACATATTTAAAAAGTCATTATCTACACATATTAATTAAATGTCTTCCAAATATGGAAGGAACAAACAATGCCCCACATTGTCAAGTCCTGCAAGTGTCACATGGACGCTTCTGAACTAAGTCCGTCCGCTAATTATGCATACCACACTCATACCATTGTTCACATCGCAAACCCACACATACGGGCGTGAAGTCAAGAAACACTCTGACAGGAAAAGCTTTGGAGCTCCCAAGATCTCATCAAGAAAAAGGCACATTTTCATAAAATCCTCACCACATCTAGAAACAACCTCAAACTAGGTTTTCAGCACACTCTCTCCAAATAGCAGTAGGAACACACAGCATGTTGTTCTGCTTACAATCCACAGCAGTCTATGGCAGCAGTTGCTTTTTTTTTTTTCGTCCTCCTCATTTGAAACCTCCAAAGGAGATAGCACCACTTTGGTGAGTGGGAAGAACTGGAAGTGAAATGTTTTGCGAGTTCATTTAAAAGGAGTGAAATGTGCCCTTTGAAATGAACAACAAGCCCACCACACACAAAGAAAAGCTTCCAGAAAACAGCAACACAGTTAAAATTAAGGCTGCAAAGCTGCCACACAGTGGGAAAATGTGCAAAATGTTATTTTTTCAAGATGACTGGACAACTGGCAGTCTGATGACCAGACCAGATGGCCAACATAAGGGTCATTATTTCCCACCTCCCCCAGCAATAATAAAAAAAGGAGAGGAACAAACCAAGCAAGCAAGCACTAAGAGGAATTCACAAGAAAGAATCCATGGGGGGAGCATAGGAGAAACCCAGAAAGGCTTCTGCCGCCTCCTTGACGCTGGCAGTGATGAGGATGCTGTCGGAAGCTTGGCCAATGGAGTTTGGGACAGGCTCCTCTGTAAACTCGGGGTCAAAGTGTCGCAGGTCACTGGGGCCGCTCTGTGGGAAAGCAAAGAGAATGGGTTGGTTGCTGATGCCAGATGCTGAAGAATGCTCGAGTGTTTCTAAAGGGGAGGTAGAAGGATTCAGGAGGTCCTATCCAATGCCAGTCTAACCTAAGCCCCATTCCTTTCAATGGGTCTGTGCCTGTAACCCTTCTAAACCTGCCCCAGTTTGATAATATCTTACCAAGATAAACTAAGCAAACATGTTCTTGTGCTCCTTTTCACTCAGTCACTAGCTTCAGACAAGGGATATGGTCTGTGACAGGGTGGGGATTGGTTGGCATTCTGGATGCCATGGGACTGCAACTCCCACCAGCCCTTGCCACCATAGCCAATCAGGAATGGAGTTGCAGTCCAACCACGGCCGAGGGCCACATTTCCCCCACCCCTGGCCGAAGCACTCTGCACGGAGGCAGGATGCCAGCGGTAATCCAGACTGCAGAACCCGTTTCGGATGGATCCTGCTGGCCTTGGAGGCCAGTGGCAGGCCACTCAACTTCAGGCCCATTTACTTTAGCACTGCACTCCTAAAAGACACTTAACTAGGGAGTAAGGCCCATTGGATACAGTCAGATTTACTTCTGAGCAAGCATAAGGGAAATGGGCCTCAGATTTCAGCCTGAAACACTGCTAGACTTCACAGGGTGACTACAGTCAGCTTGGCCTCTGCTCGAGACTGCAAGATCTTTCTAGTTAAGTCAGTCCAATTGAATTCAAGCAGCTTTTCAATCAGATGTGTTACCTAGCTGAGAACAATGATAACCCACTGCAAATATTGAATATAATGCTAAAGTTCAACTAGCAAAGCTAGATATACAAGTTCCTTTTTGGTCAAACTAGGCTTTAAACTTGAATAAACGGAGGGTGACATTAAGAATTTATTTGATTTAGTTTTCCAGAGTCTTACTGACAAAGCCTTTAAACGTAATAAAAACCTGCCTGTTATTATTTTTATCTTCAGCCTCTGACCACCCCTGCTATAAATAGAAAAAAGTCTCCTTGCCCATCCTATAATTAGGAGATACTTACCACATTTGGGTTAAAAGGAGGTGTAATCTTCTTATTAATGAGATCATCCCAGTTAATTGGAGAGAAGAAGATGTGATTCTTAATCTCCATCTGTTGAGGAAGTTGAAATTGGATCAGATCAGACAAGAGTAATTGAAAAAGACTGGCTCAGTCTTGCCAACTTCCTGAATTCCCCTCCTTCCAAGCCCCCAGTATACTTACAAAGTCTTCCTTTGCACCCAGCCTCTTGGTCCTGTCCTTTTGCAAAAGACCTTCCAAAAGGTGTCTAGCGGAGTTGGTAATATTTGGCTTGAGCTGCAGTGGTTTGTTCAAGATGTTGTCGTACATTTCTGCTGTGTTCCTGCTATAAAAAGGAGGCTGCAAGGAAGGGAGAAAACGGAGAAATCTTTAGCATCAGCAGCATGCCTTATTGTGAAATACTGAGCTTCTAATGTTTCGCTAATTTATTTATCTAAAATACTCCTGTCTGCCTTTCAGGGTGGAAGCCCTCTAAGCTTAATGCATGCAGAGAAGGTTCAAGGAATGTATTACATACACCTCCATCTTTCTTATGTAACTATAGGAATTTGTCTTCTCTCAGCACCCAAACCTAAGTGGTATGACTACCAGATGCAAGAGGTTCACCATGCAACAACAAATGCATGGATCCACTGAAACCAACAAATAAACAAAAGAGCTACAGTGGGAGTTTCAGTGAAAGCAAGAATTGGTCATATCCTGTGCTGGTGACCACGAACACACACCTACTGGCTCTCTCATCTTACTTACCAGTCCATAAAGCATCTCGTACAAAACCGCTCCAAGGCACCACCAGTCCACAGTGCGGTCGTAGGGCTGCTTGTGAAGGACCTCAGGGGCAAGGTACTGTGCAACACAACCAAGAGGAAGGGAAGCGTTAGATCACATCAGCCACGAACAGTCGTAGGACAAGACCCATGCTCGGCTCAGTCCCTGAAGTTTCTAAATGCTCCACTGAAAAGAACCATGCAATGGATGGGGCTTGCACATGTATAGTGAGGACCAGGGTCCACTGCTTCTAGTATGCAATTTGTGTGCCTGGAGATTTCTATGGGAATTCCTGGAATGCTGGTGTCTTTTATTTCACTGAAACACTATCATTTGTCATCCACTGGAGACTGCCCACTTCACCTAATCGGCATAAAAAGTCCTCTTGTCCCATTGGGAGACTCGTACTGCTGTCTTGTACTTTGGACACATACATCACTGTCATGTGGATAAAAGCAGAATGCAAACTTACCTCAGGAGTGCCACAAAATGTGGAAGTTGTGCCATTGTGTTCTATGTTCTCTTTGCAAAGTCCGAAGTCAGTTAAGACAATGTGGCCCTGAGAATCAAGCAGAATGTTCTCAGGCTTCAAGTCCCTGCAGCAAAAGGGAAGAGGAACACACATGTCAGCCTGTCTGTCTCCCTCTCCGCCTGAACTGGTTCTATGCTAAGCAACAAACTTCTGCCATTTTCTAAATGGTCCCCTAGCCCCCCACTCAAAAGCAAAGAGCTTTTGTGGATGGTCCTCCAGGATGTTACGGCCACCTACCATCTTTATTCATCTATTAGTTGATTTTATAGAATGCTTAGCACCTTTAAAGCATCTCTGTGAAGTTTATTTATCTATCTGATTTCTACGGCTACCCCGTAGCTGGAGCTCTCTGGGCAGTTTGCAAGGATTCAGTCTTGTGCAAAGGACCACCCACTGGCCCAGCCAGAGCCCCAAGGGTGCTGTGCCATCTCAATCCCCAGTGCTAAGAACCGGGCAGCCCAGCTCCCAAACCCCCATCTGCAAAATTTCCGTGCCAAGTCAGAGCCCGCAGAGACCTCAAGCAGGCCTAAGCCGAGGACCTACCGATAAACTATATTCAGAGAATGCAGGTATCCCAGTGCACTGGCGATTTCAGCAGCATAGAAACGAGCTCTTGGTTCCAGGAAGCAACGCTCCCTCTGGAGATGGTAGAACAACTGCAAGAGATGGAGGGGGTGGGGGAGGGAAATTTGTCACGGATCCCGAAGCCTTCGAACAATGCGTTTAATTAAACCCAACATCTATAGCTGGAGGGAATAATTGTCGGAAATGGCCTAGTAAACCTCTGGCTATTTCCTGCAATTAGAGGTTGGCAGGCAAGAGGCACTGAACATAGTAACTCCTCCCCAGAGCTCAGTTTTGGAAACAACAGAGTGCGCACATGGCGAGAATGCCATGGGCTCCTGACCAAGGAGATCACACCTCCCTGCGGCCTGCCCTCGCGCGTCCTTGTCGCTCACCTCGCCCCCATTGATGTAGTCCAAGACGAAGTACAGCTTGTCTGCTGTCTGGAAGGAGAAGTGGAGGCCCACCAGGAAAGGGTGCTTCACATTCTTCAGTAGGACATTGCGCTCTGACATGATGTGTTTCTCCTGGGGGCGAAAGGGAGAGGTCAGCTTTCAGTCCTCCGAGCAAAGCAGGAGGATACTTATCATTCTTGAGAAAGATTCCTCTGAAAGGGCAGCTGGGTATTTACCTCTTTCTTCTTCAGGATTGCTTTCTTCTGGAGTACTTTCACTGCATAGAACTGTTCTTCTGCCTTGTGCCTCGCAAGGAGGACCTGAAAGGAATGAAAACAACACGTCGCTTAGGTGTGTGATAAAGCAATAGCGACAAGTAGTCCCAACTTTCTTACTAATGGGGGGCAACTTAGTCTGACCCTTCCTAGCTTTGGGCACTCCAGTTGTGTAGACATGCATCTCTTTCATTCCCAGCCATTATGGGCCACCTGGGGGGCACAGAGTTGGAAAAGCCTGTCTTGGGGCTAACTCTGCACTACTGGAGAGTACAAATAATGTCAATTTTTTTTTTATCACCCTCGGGGTGGAGGACACAGCCTTAAGGCAGGGAAATACACAATATAGCCTTCAGATCTCTTTGAGCCCTACATTTCAAACACATTTTAAGGGCTTGAGGGGACAACACATCCTAGATGTTTTACAGGATGTATCACATGCTGTTTTAGCTGGTTTTGTTTAAAATGGTTCTATTTTTGAAAATGATATGGTACTACATTGAATGTTTTGTTTTATGAACTGTTGTAAAGTACCCAGAGAACTTCAACTATTAGGTGATACAGAAATTAAATAAATCCACCATCATTATTTTGTTCATTAACTGTTTTTAAAAGGAAACCTTTTCTTGGAAGAGTACCCAGCCCTGCAGTCTAACAGCTCCACTTCCCCCTTCAATCTTCCCTATTTTCCCTCTGGTTCCTAAATTCTTCCTTTTGACTCTAAGATTTGGAAACTCCTCAAAACTAAAAGAGCTGACTTCAGAATCTACCTGATTCTCAAAAGCACTGTATCTTTCACCTTAAACACTACAGGCAAAAAGTGCACAGTCCCAATAGCTTACCTTTCCAAAACTGCCTTTTCCAATAACCTTCAGAAAATGGAAATCTGATGGCTTAGCATGTGGGTTAGATGATGGGCCAAGGTTGATCTGCTGAGATGGACTGGGCTGCAGTGAACAAAAATGAAAAGAATCTTTACCACGTGTACTGAGACTTTTGAATGTAAACTACTTCTTTAAATGCACAGCTAAACACCGCTGTCTACTCAAACTTTTTTGGGTGGATGAACACAGCAGGTTGCGTTCATGTTTATGCTATTGCTTTTATTTCTAGAATGTCACCTTGGTGGTTTTTACCAAAGGACAATATAAATATATTCCAAATTAATGCAAAAAAATTACTGCAGAGGTCTCTTGGGATATAGTGCAACATGCTTTATGTAAGGTAACAGACAAAGGCTTTTCCTGCTTTCAGTGAAACAAAAATGAACGTTTTAATTGAAGGAATTATTTCTGCTCTTTGTCCAGGTTACATCACTGCAAGGTGCTCATACAGAGAAAGGCTATTTTTAACTGTGCTTCTATTACTGACACATTAAACTCTTCTCTAGGAAGGCTACACACAATAGAGGCTACTTACTGGAGGAGAAGGATTTGCATTCATAAGATCAGGCTCTTGAGGCTGAGAGATCTTCAAAATAGATTGAACTTCAGGACTGCAGAGATTAGACAAAATGTAATTAGCCCAGTTGCACAAGGCACACAACCTAGCTATATCTCACCACTAGAGGGCGCGCTAACATTGTAGCTGAGAAAGTTTCAGGTTGGCAGATTACTAAAAGCAACTTAAAACAGCCTATTAGGTTTCAGGGCTAAGATGAAAGAGGAGACAGGAACACACCCTTTCAGAGCAAAGGGACTTATGCTTCCTCTGTAATTAAAGGTCAGGGGATACAGGAGGGGCTGTGGGATCAAAAAATCTAAACAAGCCTTCATTCTCCTGTTTATTCGTCCCCAGACAGAGCCTGTAAGGTAGCTGCATGCAGTCATACAGAGCTCGGGCACACTTAAATCCAGAAAATTCTACTTCAACCATCTTCAGCAAAAGACCAACAGGGCTGCTTACAAAACAAACCCCTATTTACTCAGTTGTTCATTCCTGCTGAGTTCAATGTAACTTGTTCTTAGCATATACGGAACTGCATATGCTTCTGTTATTAACATCTCCGGTTGCATCCGATGTTAGTCTTACTTAAAGTAGACCCTTGAGCTTAATTGAGACTTATAGGTTAGACCATCACTGTACACAGCTCAGTATCTGTACACAATTTTAACACAACTAAGTTTGCAATAAGCTTACTTAGACTGAACTCAGTAGGACTTAACTTACGAATAAACATTCTTCGGCTAAAACTGTAAATTCTTGTTCTTTGTTTTGTTTTGACATCGCATTTCAACTACCCCTCTCCAGGCTAAAACGGCTCTACAATTTCTCTTTCCGTCTTTCAAACAGCTTCAGGAAAGCGTTAAATTCTTCTAGCATTATTTTCAAGGGAGGAAAAACACTTACTGTTTACATGCATAGGAGTTGGTAGCTATTTTTTGAATGAAGTCATTCAACCCCATCCTTCTCTGTTTCATGAAAGCTGCAAAACATAACAATAACAAAAAGGACGGTTACAGATCAATCGCCACTCATCCTCATCCACCATCTCCCACCATTATTTGATGAATTTAGTTATGCTTTTGCCTTTGAGTCGAACCAGCATTGCGCGCAGCACTATCTGCTAAAGAAAACATCTCCGGCTTCTAGAACGCCGGAACCGTCTCGTCGTCGTCCTCGCTACTCACCAATGAGTATCGCCACCATCCCTCTCATCTTGGAATAGGTTAACGTGGACCCAGACGCTTCAGTTTTGACCGTCATCACGAAGCCGGGTAAGGGCGGCGGCAGCAGCAGCAGCAGCAGCAGAAATAATAATCCAAGCCGATGCAGGAGGGACGGCGTCGATCAGCCGAAGCAGCCGGTCAGTTAAGTCAGCCGGGGCGCAAGGCAGTGCAAGGCGCGCAAGCAAGAAGGAACCCTGCGGCGTCCCCTGAGCCAACCCGATTGTGCGCCTCCGCGGCTCGCCGGAGGGGCTTATATAAGCGCGGCCGCGAGCGGGGCGGAGGGAGCAGGAAGGGGCGGGGCCCGGAGGGAACAATGAGGAAGAGTCTCGCGCACCGCCCTGGGCGCCCCGAAGTGCCTTAAGACGCCGCGCGCTGGCGCCCGGGCCTGGGCAGCGCGCGGCCCGCCCTTCCCCTCGCCCGCCCTGACGTTGGGAGGAGACGCGCAGGCCGGCCTGGAGGAAGGACCGCGCTCGCCTTTTCGCGTGCGCGCGCTCTCTCTCTTCCCGGACCCTTTCCGATTTCTTTTTGCAACCCCTAATGGGCAGCAATAGCGGAAAAAGACAATGCAACGAAGCGCCGGGATTGCACATAACTCTTCTTCCTCTCAGCTCTCCCCGCTCGCTCCCAGGGGAGCATAAAAAGGGGGAGGGGCTTCTGTGGCCATTCTTACAAGCTACCTTATCTTGCTTCGTTTACAGGCGCTCAGGCGCTCAATAGCCTCACACTACCGCCCGTTCCTGAGCGTGTTACAGCTACATACCACAGACTGCGCAGTAAGATCATCATCAATAACAACGACGACGGCTCGGCTGGCCGATAGGGGAGAGGAACGCGAAATCCACAGCTAGGAAATGCGATTGTTAGGACAAGCCAACATGCCACAAAATGCTCAAGTCTGGGATTCCCCTCATTCCAGGGTTCCAAGCGGGACCTTATTCAGTGATCAGTTTATTACTTGTGCTGTTTCTCAAATGCCACTGGCTAAAGTTTGTAACTATCCGATGGGAACAGTCCTCGTTCCCCGGAAAGCCTTGAGGATCCCCGGTACACCAATGGAAAGTGCCTGTTTCCCATGGGGTGGGGGGTGATATTCCAGGGTAGTAACAAAGGTGGAGAGAAGAATTAACGCTCTCCACATGCTGCAACAAGCATTTCAAAACTGCTTCGGTGCAAACGTTGCGTTTTTTAGGTGTGTGCATGAATTGCTCGTTAAAAACAAAGTAACAGCCATTCTCTTTTGGGCTTCCCACCAAATTGCAGATTCATTGTAATGGAAGAGGAACCACTGAACGAGGGTTTCTAGAACAGCATGCAAATTAAGGGAAGATTTCATTGCACTTGAGGAGATCGGGAAGCGGAATGCCCTCTGGGAAACTTAAAAACGTGCTAGCACTTATTTCTAAAACGAATGCAGATACATATAAAGTAGCATATGTAAATGTTCTACAGCTTCATGACCTGCGGGTCTGAGCCAGGAATCTTTTTAAGTGCCTGCAGATGCCTGGAGTGTTTTCGGCCTCAGGTTAGACTTGCCAGATGGCGACTGCTTTCGAAATGCCCTGGCCTGGCTCCTTTGCCTTATCCCCCAAAGCCACAACCCTGCGAAATGGAAGTCTCTTTTTGGCTCACTCCCTGCATGCAGATAGCGGTCCATCATGGAACGTCCCTTTTTCACGGGTCCAGGCTGATCGTCCAGGGAAAAGACCAGCTACCGCTTCTGAAGGAAATTCCCGGGGATGCTAAGAAATTGTGACGCCGTATTGTCCCCGCATCCAGCCATGTCGGACTTTAAGGCATACATCCCCCGAATGTGGAATTTCCATTCGTGTCATTACGGCTAATCCTCACTGACAGCACGATCCTTGCGAATATATTTCTAACCGCGAGTTTATCTGACGATGAGAAACAAAGTCATACAGCGCGAACTCGAGTGTTTTACGAGTCCGTGAATAAGCACAAATAATCTCCCGTATTCACGCATTTGGGATTAGGGTGAAGGATTTCCCAGGTAGGCTGGGTATCCTTCAAGTTTGGACATTAAGCCCTGCCCTCTTTTTTAAAGTGGATTTGGAGGGCTTCGCAAATTAAATCAGGAAACATAGGCACACCTACCTAGGAATAAATCTCATTAAACGCAGTGGCAAGGGCTGAGTAAACAGTCATAGAATCGGTCTGAAATGTGCGAAAATAGAAGCATTTTGCGAATTGGGGCGGGACTGTTCAAAGTTTCAGTTACTCTTTGTCCTCCGGAGTAAGCGACCACTCTCAAAGTATTCACAACTGCGCTGGAAGTCTGGATCTCTCCTCCTCCCTCCCCGCGCCCCTTTCCTTTGATACTCCACCTCAAAGCAAGTGTCATCCAGACAGTGAAACAGTAACCGCGGGTGTCAGTGAGCGATCCCTGCTTATCAGATGGTATTTATTAATTGCAAAAGAGCGTCCCAGAAGAGCCGGATTGTCCATTGGCTGCATTTGCTGGCACCACCTCAAGGCTGAAAGCAAACAGCTTCAAAGGAATCCTTGACCAAAGGGAGACGTCCGGGGCGGGGGGGGGGGGGGGATTTTTTCGCCCGACCTTTAAAACTGCCAGGGGCGGGGGGGGGGGGGGGGAGGGCTTCCCGGCTGTAGGCCATCAAGTAGCCCGCAGATAAGGAGGGGAAAGGGAAGCATTTTTGAAAGTTGCCTGCGTATCAGGGTTTCTTACCAACATCACAGTCAGAAGCCCCTTTGCTTTCCCTGCGGCAGCAGAAACTCTTTCTCCTTGTCAGATCCGCTGATGTCAGTTAAGGGTTGCGGCCCCTTTCCCCTCCCCACTTGTGAGGCCTCCTTCTGGTCCTAGGAGCAAAATCAGCCACGCTCGCCTGGAACGAAGGCAGATAAGAAGTGGCCTTTCCGTCAAGGAGCCACGGAGAGTGACTCAAGGAACTGCATTTCCTGTCCCGGCTTTGTGCAACAAACAAATAGCCCTTGAAGGCGACCGGCCGGCCGGGGTTCAGCCTAGCCCGCCTGCCTGAGATCTTACTGAAAACGCCTTCTTAAAGCATTGGGCCAGAATGGACGCACGCACACATAACACAATCAATCTCAATCTCTCTCTCTCTCTCTCTCTCTCTCTCTCTCTCTCTCTCTCTCTCGCGCGCGCGCGCGCACACTAGAGGCGGGGCGGAGAGAGAAGGGTCCTCTGAGAAAAGGAGGTGGTGGTGGTGGATATCTCCACGTTTGCAAAAGCCACAGAAGGAAGAAGAAAAAAAGTTGACTGAGTCTGCACTTCGTTGTCTTTTTCAATTGCACAATCGTTTCAGAACAGCCTGTGCCCGGATGGCACATTCCTTCTCTCGCTTTGTGCAGCAGCGGCAGCGCTGCGGAACACGCGAGGTTTGTTTATGAATGGAGGCGGCCGGGACGCCGCCCGCTGGTGACCCGAAGCGCCGGAGGCACGCAACGGAAGGCGCCGGCGAGCGGGGGGCGGCTCTGGGGCTGCGTCCACGTGCCACAGGGGATCCGCGGGCGAGGGGCGAGGCGGGAGGCCTCCGGCCGATTGTCAGAAGCTGACCTCACCCCAAGCCCCTTTACTGAAAATGCGGCGCAGCTTGACTCGATAGCCCCAGCCCGCAATTCGCACATCGCCCCCTTCCACTTGAAGAATCCTGGAAGGGACGGGTCTGATCAATAAGGTGCATGCTTAGTAACACACTTATCAAATTAACATGATTGTTTTTTCAAAAAAGAAGATAATACAGCAGTCCTCTTTTTCAGTTCAAAAGGCGCCCCTAACAACCAACTCCAACCTGATGGCCCCTGAAGTGTGGGACTACAATTCCCATCATTCCTAATGGGGATTATAGGAACTGTCATCAATACAGCTGGAAAACAACAGGTTGCAGAAGACTGGTCCCACCTTCGTGCCTCTTAAACATTCTTGTTGGATGTCATCTGGTCCATTACCCCTCAAGCACAGAGAACACAACAGGTGTGCAAGTCTGTATACTAAATGTACATCCCCTGGCAGATGGAGAAGGAAGGGGGCTTTCTCTGAAGTAAGTATGGAAGGGATGGGTTACATGAGAAGTACATGATGGAATGAGAATGAATGTTCCATTGGATGCATTGCCTTTTCGGATTGCCCATGCCTTGGAACCCTACAAAGAGACCTACTAGGACTTTTTAAAAGACCCATCTGCTTTCCCATGGGCCTCTGCATTGCAGTTTTTTCTGACATATATACATGCAAGCATTTCCACAACAGACAGCAGTAGCTCCTTCCAAGTTCTGGGGCTCAGGTCAGCACATGCGGGTGGGGGTGGGCTGCTGCTCATCGCCCTGCAGAACAAACCCAGCAAGCATCAGCGCTCAAAAGCAAGTGTTGCAAGAGGAGCTTCAGGTTCAGCAGGGCTGAAGAGGGAAGGAGGCTGTTGAAGCAAAGCACTCCCTCTACCAGCTGACTTTGTGAATGCAAAATCGCAAAATGTTGCACACTTCGGTTTATCCACTTTGGTTTGGTTTACTTGCTATTTCAAAAGCCTGTCCTGCTGAACTCTTTCAGTCCCAACTGGAGAAAATCAGGCCCACATTGAAACCCTATAGCACCCCTCTAATAAATGCTCAGAGAAGTCACAGATCCTTCCACCAGGGAATCAACCCCAAAATAAAGATGTTTCCAGGTCTGCCTTTGTTCTATTCCTCTATTGCTTTGCAAGATACAACTTTCACTGCCTCTTCCCTCCCAGGTGGGTATTATCCTTGACAAGAAATCATGAGTCAGCTGCTGCCACCAACACTGCCAGTGTCAACCTCTCAGCAAGCACATTGCCAGCAGAGCATGAGGAGGAAAGCACGGGTGTTTTCCCAGTGTCCACTGCTGCTTGGGTTCCTCCCTACCCACCATAAGTGGCTGAAGCACCACAAAGGTGGGCAGCAAAATGGCTTCTCTCTGGAGCCCTCGTTGGTTCCTGAACTTCCATTCATTCACAAGTTCATTCATTTCGTTCTTCCCATGGTAGTACCTCTGCCTGATCAATCGAATAGGTAGGTCTTTGCTGAAGGGCACCTGGCAGGCTTTCTTCTCATCAGGCAGTGCCTGCACCTATCAGCCCTTGCTGTTCCTTTCATTTATGGACAGAGAGAGCTGCCTTAGAGATAGCACGTTTTGTGATAAGAAAAGACAAGGAAGAAGCAGTGGGCAAGCATGGGAAACTCAGATATGGAGGATGGTGCCATGTGGACCATGCTGGGAGCACAGTAAAACTTCATCTGGGTGCACCCTAAGTGTCCATCCCTAGCCATGGCAGAGGCTCTCAAGGCCTCCGGATAGTTTGGCCAAAACTCCCATCACATTTCCTGCCACTGCCATGCTAGTTGGGATTGTTGCAAGTTGTCGTTCAAAACACCTGGAGGACACCCCATTGGGGAAGGCTGTCAAGGCTGAAAGAAGAGACCTTCCTTCTCATCAGCTCCCTTCTTGTTAATGGGGCTGCCAGGGATTGAACCCGGGGCATTGGGCAGTCAAGCTGTACAGATATATACTGCAGTTGGTTTTTACTCCAGTGTTCTACTGTTGTTTTATACTTTTGAAAGTGTTATGTTTTACCATGTTGCTGCATTTTATAGTTTTATATAGAAATCCAATACATTAAATTGACTATACCCCTCCCCTTTTAAAGAGAAGGCATGCTCAGGGCAGTTTTGCTGCCTTGTTTCACAATGGCCTAGGGGCATGTCCAAGGAGAGGAAAGGAGCAGAGTCCCTGCTTGACATACAGGGGCAGAGTCCCTGCTTGGCATACAGGCCCTGGAGTTTGATCCTCAGCATCTCAGCATCAGCATCTCCAAGTATCTGGCCAGGGCGACTTCTTTTCTTTTCTAACTTTTTATAACTTCTTTTATATCGTTTATATTTTTATTTATTTTATATTATTAATTTTAATTTTATATTGTTATTTTTGTATTGTATTGTATTTTATTGTGTTGTAAGCCGCCCCGAGGCTTCAGCAAGGGGCGGCATAGAAATGTTATAATAATAATAATAATAATAATAATAATAATAATAAAAAAAGTATACCTGAAAAAAATCCTGTGCTGAACTCCAAAAGAGCTGCTGCCAGCCAGTGTAAGCAATACTGAACTAAACTGGCCAATTGTTCAACTTGGTATAAGGCTGCTTCCTATATATGCAAGAAGTGACCACATTCATTGCTTCCTGAGCTCAGAAAAACAGAGGGTGTCTCTGTCATCCCATATAGTTCAGCAATGTGTGCACACTCTTATTCCAGAGAAATGTTTTAAATTGAAGCATCCAGTCATCCTCCTCCAGCTTTCAAATCTCTACTTAAAATCTTTAAAGAAAAACATACATCACCAGTAGAATCTATGGCAGCAAGCCCGTAGGTTTGCCACACAATTTCTCTTAAGAAATTAAAGTGCTTGCAGAACTTCTAACTCCAACCAACTCATCTGAGTTGGCTTTCTGATGAGATTGTCCCTGAACTAATTAAACCAGTGCACCAAAAACAATTGTGTCTTCAATCTTCTTGCCACACTTGATAGAACTATTTAAACAGAAAGCAATGTAATTCTGCTCATCTTAGCTCCAAAGATGCAGGCACTCTCTTTCTTTGCTAGGTCAGAAGTAGCAAAAGTTATGAACTTTCAGTTTTAAAAAATGCCACAAAAATATCATTTAACCAACCTTTCAGTGAAGACTTTTCTTCCTTCCCTCTCATGATAAGCTCTTCTCTGCCTCTCTCGCAAGATCCCACCACAAGAGCGAAGAGCAGTTCTGTAACCCTGTTCTTTTAATCCTTCAGTTTGTTGTAATTCCCAACAAAACGTCCCCTTCTTTGGGCTGTCCGTCTTCCAGTCAGCTTAAGGGGAGGCGGGCAAATGAAACACAAACTAGCTGATCTGGCTGCTCAGTTTATGAACCTTGTATTAAAGGTGATTTACATACCAGGGAACTAAAGTTCAACACTAGCCACGTCGTTGCAACATAACCCTCAAATTTACTGAAATCATCACTTGCTTATTATACACACGCACTCAAACTCACACCCACTGCAGCAACTCGAAATGCAGGTCTCTTATAATTCATGCAGCAGCAGCAGCAGGATTCCAGGAAGACTTGAATCAAAACACAATTTAGGAAGGAGGGAGGGAGGGAGCGAGTGAGGAAGAAAATGCAAGAGATGGGAAGGAGTCGGCCATCCTTCCGTGTGGATAGCTTCTTCATGGTTCACAAAATTACTCTAGAGATTGGGGTCTGTAGACGGGGGAGGGCTTGGATTTGTTTTGTTTTCATGGATAGGCACGGTGGTGTCCTGGAGATGTTTTAGACTCCAGCTCCCATCAGCCCCAGTCAGAATGGCCGGTGATCAAGAGCTACGAGAATTGTCCTGAGCATCTGAAGGGCACCATGCTGCCTTCCGCCCCCACCCCTCGTTTTGCCGGACTGAGCAGCAAGTCCTCAGATCTGTGAAGCAGGACTACTAGCACTGAAACCAGTCTGAGCGTGGGCGCGTGTTGGGGGACGGCTGGCTCGGCTTGGGTGTCCGTGTTCCGCCCTAAAACGTTAAGGGACCGCGGGCAGGGACCGCGGGCAGGACTCGCGTGCGAGGCGGCGGCGGCGGCGTGCGCCGGAGCTGCGCCTTCTACGTCAAGCGGTGCCGGGGACGATTGTTGGCCCGCGGCAAGCCGGAGACTCCGCGTCTGCCAGCTTCTCTCCCCACCCACCCACGCTACTTCCCCTTTCTCCTCTTTTTAGCCGCCGAAGGAGACAGCTGGGCTCCCGACCATGTGTCATTCCAGAGGAAGGAGGCGAACGGCCGAGGCAGCCGCCGTTTCCTCCCGGCCCGGCCCGGCCCGGCCCGGCCCAGCCCAGCCCAGCCAGCGCAGGGGGGCGGGGGGGCGCAGCAGGCAGGCGCCCCCCTTCCGCTCCTGGCATCTCCGCACTTCCGAAGAGGAAAGCGGGAGATAGCTGGCGAGGGCTTTCCCGCCTCCGCCTCTCGCAGCGCTCCCCGCGGCGGCCCCTCCACGCCGCTTTTCCTCTCGCGCCTCCCGAGCGCGCGCCCCCGGCGCCGGACGGCCCGGCCTCTGACCCGCCGGCGGAGCCTGCACGCAGGGGGCGCTCGTGCTCGCGCTCGCGCTCCCTCCCCCTCCCGCAGGAGGCCCGGAGAAATGCCGTCGCCAGCGCTGACTTCTGCGGCAGGCCTGTGGCCGCTGCACCGGGGTGATGTCTCCGGGTGTAAGTCCCCCTGGCCTGATTGAAGCATGGCCGCTTAGTCTTGCACAGCCCTGGAAGAACACAGACCGTTCCCTGAATGGACTCTGCCAGCCTTAGTGGCCAAGCAAGTCTCCCTGGATCTTGTGTGGCCATCCCTGCATTCGTGTGGCAATTTCTGTATTCATTCTCTACCTCAAGGAAATCACCCGAACTTCCCTCATGCCACATCGGGCCATTATTGACCGAGCTAGGGCAGTTATAGTCTTCTGCTCTAACCACTAGTAATGCCTTTCCCAAATTTGTGCCCTGCAAATATTTCAGACTTACACTGCCCAGCGTTCCTGCCCATTGGCCCTGCTGGCTGCGGCTGGTGACAGTTGAAGCCCAAATTGTCTGGAGAGTATCAGGTTGGAGACATCAGCACTTGTGGCCTCTTAAAGTCACAGGTGGAATCTCACCCAGCCCTCTCCATAATCTATCGTTCTTTAACCCCCTGCAGTGGACTGTATATCATGCACATAAGTACTTACAAGCCCCATGGCATTTGCACTGAATCTCTGTGTTAATCACTGTGAGGCCACATAGGTCAGCAGGTTCAATGCTGGTGGTACTGTAACTGGGAATGTGTACAGTGAAAACAGCCACCTGCTCTTTAGTGCCAGTTAGTAACGGAGATACAAGAACACAGAGTCCTTTCGTACGCTGGCCATATTTCCAGGACATACGGGATGTCTTGGTTATCTCTCCTCAAGGATGTAATTCTAAACACATCAGGGAATAGGCTCAACTGGATACACTGACTCTTACTTCTGAGTAAATGTGAGATTTTTCACTGCATGTCCGGTTACAATCACAGATGCTTTTAGGAGGCAATGAGGAAATCTCCGACTTGACTTGCATTCGGCACATCCACTAGTGTTGTTGCACTTCCCTGTTTCTGTTGCACCGACAGGAGCCAATGCAAGCATGATGGGAAGCTAGTGTTTTCTAAAGCAACTGTGGAAATCAGCTCATTTCCAGAACTGGATGGTCTGTGGCATTCCCTTCTGTAAGCACTGCTGCTCTGCTCTGTTCCAGAAACAGGTTTCTACTCATTTCCATGTTTTAGGATCTGCCAGAATTCCACTGCAGTAGCAGCAGATTCCTGTGATTCTCCAACATTGTTATTCCCATCCCTGTCCCCTCTCCTTCAGACCCTGCCCCATGTGTGGGTGGGAGATGTGTGTGTGTGTGTGGGGGGGGGGGGGAGAATGTATGATTCAATAATTTACTAAAAATGAAATTGTTGCCTTGCAAATAAGCCCATTTGTCCAATGTTACTACCCCCATATTGAGATGGGAAAGGAATTAGATAAAAAGAAACACTGTCCTTTCAGTGGCTTCTGTTTGGTGATCTAATATCTAAAAGTTGTGAAGCCTGCTTCTGGATATGCTTACTCAGCCTGCATGGTCCCTTTGAAGTCACTCCTACACATGCTTAGGATTGCAACACTTGAAATCGAAGTGAAAAATCAGTCATGGCCAAGTAAAGCCTCATTGATTTTGATGGGATCTAATGTCAGCAAACATAGTCAGTGTCCAACCAGCTGTGTTTAGTATTGATTTTTTCTTTTTTCTTTTCTTGATTGGAAGGGGGAGGGGGAGTCCAGACAATGTTATCCATCATGTCTCGTCCTTCTTGTATTTTCCTGCCACTTCTTCCATCTTTTTTCTTATTGTAGAAAATCACTTAAGGAAGAAAAAGTAGAATCACTGCAGAATACTTTCTCGTGGTTAATGCTAGGAACCTTCCCCCTAGAGGCACTCCAGGAAAAACAGGCTAGGAACCTGTTGTTAAAGGGAGTTCACTCCCATCCAGAACAGCATGTACTCATATCCTTGGAGTGGCAGGTTTCCCCTGTCTAGTCTTTATTTCAGTTTGTTTACCCTTATGAGGCTCATAAGGAGCTCCGGACACTGATTCAGGACCTCCATGGCCTCTACAGAATGCGATGGAAGGAACATAGAGATGAGCACTTTCAGCACATTGATGAAAGTGCATCAGCACATAGATGCATTCTCTTGGGATTTCCATGTTGATGGCAAAAGGACATCGGCAACTAAATAAAATCCTGTGGGATCATAAGAAATGGTAATACCATAAGACTGAGCATGAGTGTCCTACCACCACTTTCTGAAATTTACTCACAAGGAAAAACTGAGGCTACCACAAAATGCAGCCCCTGTACTGTCCCATCCTTGCAAATCCATCCAGAAGTGTTGAACTTCAAGACAGATTGTTAAAAAATTTTCTAAGATGTCCAGAAGAATGAACAGCATAATTGATTTATTAGGGTGAGCAGGGCCATTTCCGTCCCTAACCAGGCCTGAAGACAGACTGAACTGGGTCCAGATAATGAAGTTGAAGTTTTGCATTTGGACACCACTGGGTGCTCAAACACCTTATCCAAATCAATAATGATGAAGAACAGCAGAAGCCAACATTCCACAGATGGAATAGAACCTTGTACAACAGACATGGCCATTTCCACCACCAATTCAGCCAGTCAATCTCCAGCTGCCTTTCAAAGCAGGACTAAGCAAGGCTCAGGCTGACTTATGAACAACCTTACTGATTCAAGGATCCTAGCCACATACTCCACATGGTTTGTCTTGCTATTAAGATTTATTTAAGGGACTTTAGTGCCCCTTGACATCTCAGGATGTCCAAACAGTTTACATATGAAACATGCAATACAAAACAAAAAGCAGTATATTAGTACTAGCAGTACTAATTAGTATTAGCAGTACAGCAGTAATAAATACAATAAAAAACATTACAACAAAGCAGTAGAGCAGATCAGTTTCATGCCTGATCACAAGCCAAGGAGCTAATGAATTCATTGAGTGCACTGGGGTCATTGGCCTAATTCTGAAAATTTTGCCATGACAGGGTTATGGATTTGGCTGTGTATGTGGAAGCTATGAACAATTGATAGGGAATGTTTAATAATAATAGATTTAATCATCCTGATAATCTGAGATCTCTAGGGAAATAGTTAAAACTATTGCTGGAAATCTCCCTGGCAAAGGAATCATTGGATAGTATCCAATGACACCTGCCTACCATCGCTTCCATTCCACCAGTGGCCTTACACAAGCTCTATTGACCTGCCCTGTTCCAGGAATTAGCATTTGCACTCTTTTTTGTCCAAGTGGTAGGTGGGAATGGCCAATAAGTTTGTATTAGTTGAAACAGCTCTTACTACACTTATTTGAGTGCCACTTTCTGCCGAACATAAACTCACTGCCTTTGCTGCTATCCATATAGCAGGTTTGTGTCATTGTGAAGTAAGACTCTTTAATTATAGGCCCAGGGATTATAGGTGCAGAATCATAAAATGAAGAGCAGTTCTACTAGGAGAAAACAATTCCCCAAATTGAAAATTATGGCATTTTTAGCTGGTTTGACCTACAGTTAAAATGTATGTGACACACCACATTTTTTATTTAGATACTTCCACTTTCCTAATTTCTTTTTGATTGGTTGCATCTGGCAAGAAAAATGGTTTTTAAAAAGAACCTCAAAAAACAAATGATCAGAAGTCCAGCTTTCTGAGATACCAACACTACAAATGCAGTCATTAAATTCATAATCATGGGTAGCCTGGTGCATCACAAGGGCTTAGTTACTGATAGCAATTTCACTAAAGTTACATTTAGCTGCAGGTAAAAGGTTTCAGTGGAGCTTTGATGATGTATTTTAGAATTGGAAGTAAAAGAGCTGCAAAATGCTATCATTAAACCTCTATATATGATACCCTTAGCACTAAAT